GATTTTTAGATGATTCGGAACAGGACAGGTTTCTCCAGAATGACAGACGACTTCAGACCTGTGTCTCCTCAAACTTCTGTCTATCAACTTTAAACATCTCATATGGGCTATAGCCTATAGCTCCCCAGTGTCCCTATGAGTCTGTAAGGAGTCCACTAGCCCTTGTATGTCGAGCAGCAGAACTATTGCTTAGTTTATTATGCATAAATTACCTGAAAAGCATCTCCTATTTCCTCATCAGAAAGTAATTTCAAGATGTGCTGCTCAGAGAAAATCTGTTYGTTATCCATAAACTCCTGCTGAACAGTGTGGTGAAGCATTTTCCAGCTCATAGCCCATTCCCAAATTGTCTGCTCCTATTATTTCCCCTTTGGATCATGTGGTAACTTAGCTTATGCAGTATTTCTGATTCAGCTCCTTCCCGATTGAATACATAGCAATAGCTCAACAAATGGTGAAGAAAACACTCAGTAAATATTGATAATTTCTTCTGGTGTGACAGGAATGGCCGTGCCTGAGCAGGGCTGGGTATATTTTATTAAAGAATAGGTGCTGTCCATTACTCTTCTTCCAAACAAAAAGTTAGTGGTTTAAATTAGGCTCAGATAAATGCTCAGGACAACCATTTTGAAGTAGTTGACCAGTTTTAAGTTGTTAACTATTTTAATATTTGGAAGGCASAAACTACAGCTGATGAGGAGGTGGCAGATAGTGTTTAGCTCATCCAGCTGTTTTAGTTGCCTATCAGGGCATATCTCCTGCTCCAGACCAGTTTTAAAGTAGATCTTTATTGCAGAAGCTTCTGATTTTTTTTTCCTCAAGAGTAGGAGGTTAGAGTAACAGTGTTCTTTTTGTTTGATCAACAGACACAGAAAGAGGTATTCCATGGATCTCCTGCTTACCTCTTTAACAGAAACACAAAAATAGTAGATGCCTGTTAATGCTGCCTTTAAAAGTTTCTTTCCTTACAATACACAAATGACAATTCACAAAATAAAACTTCAGCCTCAAAGAGAGGGCTTTATATGGTTTGGGCTGGTGAAATCATAGTTTTAGAAAGAGCATAAAGCTCATTCTCTAGAAGAAAGAGAAAACAAATAAATTATATCTATGGACATTATTTGGTTTTGGCATTATCAGAAATAGTTCCTATTGAAATTTCATGTCCTTCCTGACTATATCTCACCTGGGAACCCCTCCCAGCTCCAGGGTTTCTGTACACGCATCAGCCATACTGTGGGCAGGCAGTTTTGTCTTTTTTCTCCCCACTTTGTATCTTAGTTCCCACATGGAAGAAGTCTAGGCATACAAGGGAGAAGTAGTTGAAGAGATCTGGTCTTATTCTATTTCTGCACACCAGAGATGTGGCATGTGCCAAGGTGCATACCCATCATTCAATCAGTCTAGGATCAATCTTCGCCCTTGGGAAAGCCTGTAGGTAGACCATATACTTCTTTTTTCCTTCTCATCTCTTATTGTCCAGATTACATTTCCAGCTGTTTTGAACATGTACTCATTGCAAATCACTGTAAAACATTTTTCTGACATTTAATAYTTGACTTCCCCAGGAGAATTCTGGAGCCAAAAATGCTTTCAAGAAAACAAATAAAAGTGTTATCCATATTATTTCCACCCTTATGCAGAGAACAGCCACATCTCCAAGAAACAAACTGTCTTCTGGAATGGCAGATACTAGAGAATCATTAGACCATCTGGCTAAAGGAAAAGCAGACAGGCCTTTGTGTTTCTTACTCCTGGCAACAGAAGCAGAGATAGAGGGAGTCAGTGGGAGGTATTGCTGACTGTTTCAGATAGGCTAAGAGCCTTTGGTGCCTTTCAGTAGAACTTGCTGAATAGCATGGACTGCTGTCAGGTGGATATGGAGTTCAAGAGGCCTTGAAAAATATTTCAGCTTTCATAGTAAACCCATATTTTGCTAKGTGAACAGATAGGGATGAGCAAAAACATTCCTTGGAAACAGATGGAAGTCTTAAACACCAACCGCTGTAGAGTACAGAAAGGAGCTCAAAGTTCAACATGACATGATGCRATGATGCTGAGCAAGGCTGAGAAATCACGTTTAGAGCAGCAGTGGGAGTTCGAGACGAGTCTAAGATTAAACTTTTTGCCAAAATAGCAATTAATATAACATCACTAATTTTCCTGTAAGCTCAGTGCTGTCATTGGTAGAGTTGTTTGTATTTTATTGACCCCGAGCCTCCCGTACCTGTCTCCAACAGAGATGCTTTCTGGAAGCCAATGCATTTGTAGGTGCAGTGAACGAGGACCTATGAGCCTGAACAGGCACAGTGGCCTCCCACACACGGGGCAGAGCCCCTGCAATTCACCAGTGCAGTTGCTTCSTCCAAAAAATTTTGATAACGTCACTGAACTCTTCTCCTTTATCAACCCACTGCCAAAAGGTTTCAGGTTAAGATGTAGTTTCCTCTGGGGATAACCTAGGACCTCGTCTTCATTCCTGTTTTTGAAGGGGCTCCCCTTTCCTCAAACCCTACCACCATCCAGTTGCCTTGCAGAGATTGCTCTTTTGGAAATCCCTATTGGAGYTGCCACAGAATCCAGAGCTACACTGAATTACTGGCGACTCCCTTGTACAGGCTTTGCATGAGGCAGCTGCYATGTGGCATCTCCTGCAAATTAACGTAGATTTAAAAAACCCCAAATGACTAAAAAAATCCAGAACTTTTACAGAAAGTAATTTTTACTTTTACTGCCTTATAAAAAGAACTTTTACTCCCTTATAATCCCTTAGAATCTCAGAAAATGTAGCTCAGTGGCTTATCTGGCTCCCTGCACTTTAGGTAGAAAACTGCATTACCTTCTGTGATGCAGCAGTCAGGTTTGGTGCTAGAGTAAAACTAGGAGTTTTCATACCATAAGTTACTTTTAGTTTCTACTCTGCATGGGTGCTTAGGTGCACTAGGTTTATATTTTGAGAATGTTTAGTCCAGACACTATATGGCCAATATCCTCTACACTCCAAATCCTGATAAGAGTTAGGAAACCAAATTCAAGCTTCCCAGAGCGTGCTTTCAGCAATTAAACAGTCTACTTAGATTTTCCAGGATAAATTTTTGTACTTTAAAAAAAAAAAAAMAAAAAAATGAGGTTTTTAAATCCACTTATTTAATGACTAGTGTGTTATCAGATGAAAACATTTAATGAGAGCCCATTTTCTGTCATAAATAAGAGTTTCTCACTTTCTAAAGTTCCTCATCTTGTGCCCTCAGGAGCAAACAAAAAAAAAAAAAAAAAGTTTCACAGACAGGAACTCCCAAGTCATAACAGCATATTTCCACAGCATAACGCAGCTCTTGCTACCTTTATATTTCTCAATATTTCCTGGCTTGTATGGATTAAGAAGCAATGAAACCAAACTATTTTTACAGGTTTGATTGTCTGATACACTGGTTATTTAAGCTAACAGTTTATGAGAAGCTCATCTGTCTGTCTGTCTTTTGCACAGCCTATAACAGCATAACTCTCACCATCCCACACCCTCAAATATATGTACTACACCCTCAAATATGTGTACTATTTCACAGGGCAAGAGAGTTGCCACTCATTTAAACTCTAAGAACAATATCATAACAAAAATAAGTGCAAACGTCTCCTCCTGAGGCTCACACTTTCAACACCTCAGGTTGTTGGAAATTTCGCAACTTTCTCAAGAGACAATATCACACATCCAATTTGACCCCATCACTTGCAATTTCTCCATCTTGAAGGACCTGAGGCCCCTTTGCCTGGGCTCAATCCAGAGATCTATTTCTGCATCAGTAAAACATCATCACTTGGAAAAGAAAAGGATAACTTCTTGTGAACTGTTATCAAAGCTAATCTGCATCCAGGGCCAGGTGACAAGTGTGAACTTGAAGAGGAGAATAAAAGTTATTGAAATATTTCCATTTCCTTGTGGAGCTCTGGAGGAGATGGTTAAATGTGTATYTGTGTTGCTTTTGCAGGAACAGATTGCAATATCCATGGAGATGACATGAGGAAGCCAGGAAATCCTAACAAAGATGACTGTTGTGGTTTACTCTGAAAAAACAGATGTTTATTAAAATGTCAGCCAAGCGACTTATGTGTCACTGACTCTGAGGACAGTACAACAGTCTTGCAATGTTTAAAAAGTAATAATAATGAAGAAAGGTCACTCATTTCTATTAAGTGGTGACTAAAATCCTTGCCACGCTGGTCAATTTTACACAAGTCTAAACAGTGAGAAGATTGTTGGAGTCTCAGTGGCTTAAGACTCCTATTTATTTTCAATATTTGGATACATAGGTCAAACCAGTTATTTGGAAGGGCCTGAAATTGATACAAGCTACTTTATAGTTCTGACATTTATTTCCCTCGTGGATTGCACTGAAGGTTATTGACCTGTTTAGGGCTGCGTAAGCTCATGGAGAATGTGCTCTGGGAGATCTTGGCACTAAAAGCTATGCCATTCGTTCCCTTTAGTAACGTTTATCAGATAATTCCAGTTACTGGTTGCTTTTGCATTTTCCTACAGAGGGAGAAAGGGATTTACATTTACAGCTCAATTCCCAGCATGTTTTACAAACATACACCACATCTATTATTTATCATGCGCCCTCCATTCCCTCCCTGCTCTCCCTTGGATGGAGACCATTTGATCATTTACAGTTTTGCAGGCAGACTGCATACATTTTGGGCACACCGGCTTTGTCCCAGTGCCGCAGAGGAGCTGGGAGCCCGCGCTGAACCGTGCAGGATCAATGTTTAAGCCACTGCTCGGTGCGATGATGCATTCAGCAAACAAGGTTATACCAGTAAACGCAATCCCCTGATTTCAAGAATTGCAGGTACTAGGTTTCCTGAACCTGCTCTTGTGTATGAAGTGTGGATATTTGGTCTGGGGGGCACAAATGGGAAAAGCATGGRCAAACGTAGTTTTCTGGCTTAATAACCAGTGAGTACCGATAGTGGCTGGGGAATTTTCTTGCCATAGCACACGACTGGTGGAGAGCATGTCTTTGAAATATTATATTGCTTACAAAATATGTTAAACTTAATAGATGTAAATGGAACCAGTCGCACTCCCAGCAAAGTATCACATATTAATTCCAGACCTTTCTTAGGTTTCATATAAATATAGTCATCATATTACATTCATAGTGATGCAATTTCCACCTATAAATTATCTGAAAATCAATTCAGTAAGCTAATACTCCTATTATTAACTAAAACAACCATATAGTATTCTCAAAATGTTCTTGACAGACTCCTAAACAGTGGATAGACTGGTCCATTAATCCTTCTCTAGACACAGCAATTTGGAAGATCAGTTAATTATGTGTGTCTTTTCCATCATCAATGAAGTTTATAGGTCTGTACCTCAGTCATTCTAACATTTGGTTAGAGTCTCAAACAAACAAGAAATAAAAGAATATTATTGCAATTTGTGCAAAAATAAACATCTACAGAGAGGAAAAKATATGCATTTGACTCTATCAGTCATCCATTCATTCAGTTTTRAAGAATTAATTTGTTTTGAGTTAGATTTCTGATTTTTGCCAGAGATGACATTGGCAAGCTTACAAAATTTAACAGTTTTGGAAGGGACACGAGATAATGTCTGCTCATGTTGAACTTCCCAAATCTGTGGTTTGCTATGCCTTCTTATCAACTAGTGTCTAAAACACAACAAAAACTCTACCGAACCATGTAATAACAGCACAYTGAACAATAAAGGATGCACATCTGATAAAGTAGGATTAATTCCACCCTTTTCCCCTCTTTTCAGTGACAAGCACTTTCTATCACTCAGTGACTGAGAACTGCATTGTATTGTGGAACTCCAGAGCTGTATCCATTTTATCACTTTTTTATAGGTTAGGAAGACAACTTTTATGAGATTCACATCTAGTGAACTTGTCTCCAAAGCCCAGGGGGAAYACCTGAGAGAGAAAGAAAAATAAATAAAATAAATAAATCTGGACAAAGACCCCCATTTTGTGGTTGGATATAGTCACACAGCTCCTGACTATATGCCTATCCTCAACTCATCATTTGATGTTAACAAAGCCGTGCAGAGAAGAAAAAGTCAACTTTGTAWATCCATATGCTCTAGATATCCTCCCACAATAAAAAAACTTTATTCTTACCCTAGCTATTTTAATCACAAACTGTTGTGGGAGTAGGGAGGMGCAAGAAGGGAAGGCACTAAGGCAGGATACATTGAATTTTGAGGCTCTAACAAGCCAAATAAAAGGCTGTGGGATCCCTACACATATATATACAGCATCATGAGTGCAACTGATGTCATGAATGTTTTTTCTTTGGGAAGATTGTTGGCTACTGCAWGATGCCAAGGGCTACGATACTAGGATGCCAAGTAGTTGTCAGCAGGAGAAGCAGCAAGCATAATTCACAGTCAAATCTGCACTTCAGCTTAGCAGAAACCTCAGTTTATCAGAAGTTCTTAATCAATTTTTATCTATAAGCACTTACAGTATCTTAGGTGCTCTCCAGARTTAAACACCAAAGTGAAAGACTGATGATCGCTGTCAATTCCAACCTATTCTTAATCCTCTCCTTTCCCAGCAAAARGAAAGGAAGAGTCTTTCAGCCTTTCCTTTATCCCAGAGACTGACTAGATGTCTTCTGCTCAGACCATACCAGGGAACTTGATACAGGGAACCTGTTCTGTTTTAAAATTTGACACCAAGATAGCATCCTAAACAAAGGATTAAAACAACTAATTTATTTCTTTTATACCTATTATAAAGTAGAACCRCCTCACCAAGACAAATTGAGGAATGAAGTATGAGAAGGGGGTATCACATTCTTGGGAAAGGGGTTCATGGCCAATAAGCAAGGGAGAAATTTTAGCCAGGATCTCTTACAACCCTAGTCCATGCTTTACTGAAAAGGGGACACGTGCTCCTAGCATGTTGCTTTGGCTGTTGAAGACGACCACCTCAATCACAATGATTTGCTCCAGGGAAGGTTTCATAGCTGTAATTTCATTTTGGCATGAAATGTCTTTCAAAAAAAAAAAATATATAGATTTTAATTGTCCTGGAAGGATGGACTGCAAAGAGAAACACTCCTCTTGGCCTTTTCTGCTGATACTTAGCTTAATGTGCATTCTTCTCTAAATAGACCTCTCAGTTATTTATTTCCTCTGTGCATGATAGACAACACATATACACCAGTTCAGAAGCTARGAGTTCTATATAATGCTGTTGCTAGGGCAAGTCAATACCCCTGAGACCCCAACCTGATTTGTAAATGAGCAAAAAGGAAAAACTACATGAATGTAATTATTATTTGTGCAAGTTGGACCCACTTAGGTCAAGGTTTTCCCGATGAGACAACTGACTCCAGGAACCTCAGTGTTGTGCAAATCTGGGTTCAGTGTGACGACTCAATTTTTTTGATTTGCAAAAGCAAAATGCTTTTGCATTTTGTTTCAGTCCCTAAGCTCCTAATAYTCTTCATGGGAATCAAGGCACTGTTCCTGTATCATGTGTATCATAAAAAAACAACATGAACTCTCTCAGAAATCAATGGAAATTTTTCAAGTGGGATGCACCACACCTATTCAGYTTATCTTGTTTTAATCTGTGATCAGGGAAGAGAACAACTATTCCCCCCAAATCCCTGTTTTCCCTGAATTAAGCACATCAAATTCACTKTTAAGCTTCTTCATCAGTCTTAGAATATAGATTAATAAAATGTCAAAGATACATTTAAAAAGAGTTATTTTAGGTTCATAAAAGTATTTAAAAGCTTGCCTACTGGAAATTTTCTTATGAAAAATCTGATTTTGATCCTCTGTCATGTTGCATGATTTTAAAATATATGAAAATATTTTAATAAAACTATTTCTAACAAAAGGAACATACCTATTTATTCAAGCTACCACATAGGCCTCAAACCTAAAAAAAAAAAACTGTGTTATTTTTAATAGAGAATTATACATATAACCATAATTGAAAAGGGAGTTTATAGTGTCAGGAAATCAATATTGACTGCAGAACTCAGCAGTTATGTTTATGGTTGCAAATGTAAATAAATAAATAAAATAGCAAAAGTATTAATTTCTAAAAGACTTTCTGCAGTGAGGAGGTGCCAGATAGCCTCACTGCAGGATATTTGGCTCAGCAAGCATTTGTTTCAGTTGTCCTTTTCAATTTGTTCTTCACACCAAATATCCAATATCTGCAAAGCAAATGCTTGTCTAGAGCAGAAAACTACAGCCTAATACTGATATAGACATTCAATCTTAAGCACAGTGTGCTTAATTTAATTACAGAGGAATATATTGTTAAGAGCTTCRAATTAGGGAAAGCCTCAAAACCATCTGCTTACACTTTCCATTTTAGCAATTTTGTCTGTGCATTTTCTTCTTTCTTCAGTTCAGAACAATTTTTCATACCCCCCAAAATAATGCAAATGGGATTTTCCAACTGTCCCCTGCCCTTTATGACAGCTAAATGTTACATAGTGTTCTTATAACTGCGATGTGCGACGATGCCAGGAAAAACAATAGCTGTATTTATGAAATATATTATTGTGGGATCCAGCTCACAATTCAGAGACTTCATAGCTGGAATCTAAGTTATTTGCCAGCATGCACTCAGTGGATATTAATCCATGTTTTGACTGCAAATCAGTTTTTAACATGTTATGTTCTTCTTTGTTAATTGACAAACAAGTTTTGTAGAAAAAAAATTATGAATAGACCATTTTCCTTTGCAAACAAGCAGTGATAAACTGCTTAAATCTTAGGTCTTCTCTTAGAGTTTATAGGTACTTCAGCTAGTATTTTGCCAGTACATGTATTTGTTGGTCTCAGAATTCCCCCTCCCATGATAATTAATTTCTCAAAGATGTGCAATCTTCCAAAATTTCATGACACTTCCTAGAAAATGATTCTCAGCCTGTCTTACAAGCTGCATTCATTTAATTCAGTCACAGACAGATTGCACCAGTTTGCTCTCTTTACAGATATAATTATACCATTCACTAAGTCATAGTTTCTCTGTGAGTGACAATTTTCTGGCATGCTAATGTACAGCTCAGAAAGTGCCACTTTCTGCCTTTAAGCAATGCTAAGTGAACTCCACAACATGGACAAGGCAAAGGGATCTTCCAGGAATGAGGAGGTGGCTRTGAAGACCCATCTCCAAGCAATCATTTGCCAGGTGAAATTCTTGCAGAAATACYGTAGACTAATAGAGATTGAAAGGCACTGTGGGAGGTCCTCTGTCGAACTGCACGCAACCAAAAACCAAAGCCACGGAGCAAACAGGAGATGTCCTCTACTGGGAAATCCATGCCACTCAACAGGAACCCACAAGAATCCAGTCTCACCAGTAATTAGGAGATTTTGGACAGAGCTCTGAAGTTGAAATTAAGTGGTTCTTTCAACCCCAATAATCATACACAGTTTAGGGAATGTGAGAATGTTGATTTTTCAAGTGCACAAAGCTGTTTTGCTAGTGCTATTAAACTACTTTGATGCTGCAMGAAGACTGTCATTAACTCTTCCCTAGAAGAACTACCTAAGAAAAATATATCACTGTGCACTGCTGCCTCCGAAACATGCCACACTCAGCTCACATCAGGAAAACTGAATTCCTCGAGTCACTACTAATGACTGTTTTCATTTTCCTTYTCCTTATTATTAGAGTAGAAGTCTCTAGTTTGGTAAAAGTCAAATCTATCTGGATAGGCATTACTCAAATATTTCTACTTCTGATTCTCTAATTAGACTGGGCAAGAGAGACTATTTTTATATTCAGCTGATTTTACGCACTGCAATATTCTTATTTTACTTCTAAAGTTCCCATGTCTATTTTAAAACATTCCTCCTAAAAGATTAACTCCTTGAATCAAAAAAATAAAAAAGATAAGTTGAGAACTTTGGTCATTTATAATCAGTGATTCAAAGCAGGACACTAGAGACAGCTGAAACAATAGAAGAGCTGAAGAAAAGGGCAGGAAAGGGTTTTGTTGCTCAGATTTCAASAGAACACAAGGTAATATTTCCACATCCAGCATGGGTTCTCCATAAAAAGTCTGCAAGCAGGATATCTAGCGTCTCCATCTCCCTGACCTAAAGCACACATGCAACACTCATTTGCCAAGAGACATGGGAGTTTTCAAACTAACCTGTGCACAAAGATAACTTTAAACAATTATTGTTCTAACTTTCCCTCCTGATCTCGCACACAAAGTTGTATTTTAATAGGTTAATAAAATATTTTCCCATTATATATGAACTAGTTTTTGATAAGAAGCAGTTATCGTGTGGTTTTGTCCAAGTATTAYGACAGTTTGATGTGATGCCTCCTCATAAGTTTGTAGATATTTGCTACTTTGCCCCAATAGGCCACAAAAGGGGAAGCACATGTACTTCACTCTCTCCACTGGGCCATAATAATAATAATAATAAAATGRTAACACACACACTTTCAAACTTTTTATAAAAAGACATCTCAAGTCATTTCTAGTTCAGTTCTAGTTCACTGCTGGCAGATGAGGCCGCTGTCTGCTGCCAAGGCAAATTGAGCATCTCTGCTCCCTTTTGTTTCCCAGCCTTATTAGGGGGCTGAGAAGACCTAAGAGGGACCTGAATTTGGTTATGGGCATGCCCTACATGCACCTGGCCTTCCTAGCTCGGAAGATCCTGCATTTGCAAGTTTGGAGCCTAGCAAATGCTGCACTAGGCCGAGCTAATTGCTGCAAAATAGTTCTGGAGTCACCAACGGAGCAAGAGTTTTTACCATTGCCATGAGAAGTGATGCTGAAAAGGAGAAAATTGGCCCAGATGGACCTTGACGAGGTGTACAGAACACATTTGTTTTCACGTGTTCTTTTATGCAGGACCAATTTGTCAYTGTGCTTGCTTATAATTAGTTATTTGTGTTTGCACAGGCCACATGCCACCATATGGCCAGCAGCCGCTTGAGAGGACAGACCTGTAGGCACAACTGCTGCTGGCGTACGAGGGCATTGCAAGGATTTTGAAACATTATCACACTAGTGAGACATCACATTTCTGTCAGTGCCAGGRCCTGGGCATAAAATCCTGCGTTTTCCCTGTACAGAATCATAATGTTGCAAACACTGAGAGGAAAGGCTGAATCTTTCCTTCTTACTTGGATGCAAATCATGTCTCCAGCTCCTGTGAGAGGAACAAAGAACTAGAGAGGAGGGATTCAGGGCCGTGCTTTCACCTGCCCTCTGTTTAACTAATTTATACCATGATATAACTAACACCTCCTCAGATTTTTCACTTGCCTATACCATGAGTTGATTTGATAGGTCATTCATGTATGAAAACATGAGGTCATCCCTTTTTTATTCAGCCTTGTACTCTGAAAAGCATGTTTGTGTTCAACCAGAAATTTTGAGAAAGAAAGAAGTCAGGTTTAATGAAACTAAAATAATTTTATGATAGCAAAAATATAAATCTGAGACTGTGTGGGAAAATAAATGCTGTCCTCCTCTGCCACATATATATATATATATATATATATATTTTAATATTTTAAGTGAATCTCTGTATTACATCCAGCACAAATCTGGAAAAGCCCCAGAAATTTTTAAATGGCTGCAATAAAACTCGATGGTATTCTTGGGTAGGAAGTATTAGACAGATGGAGGGAACCCTATTAATATCCAGCAACGCATCAAGCCATGCAATTACACCCTGTCGCCAGGTTTCACTTACTAATGCTTTGCTAGGTATTAAGCTACACAGAACCACCTATTTTGACAGCTGTCATTAAATTACATTCCGCCTGATATCCCGGTAGTTATCGTAAGATCATCTGCTCATTACACAAAGTAGAAGTTTCATGTACTAACAAGGAACAATCGGGATTTACAACAGGACTGAAAGCCTGTTCCAAGTTCACAGTGAAACAGGCAGCGTTACACTAGTCTCCAGGTACAGCATTTACTGATATTCCCTGGTTTAACCCTGAAAGTTGCATTTACCTATTGAGAAAGAAGGTCCTGGAAGGTCAGGACTAACACAGAACCCACTTGGAAGCCAAAGGCAGCCTTTTTCCAAGAAAGGAACTTAATGGCAGTAGAAGCCCCAGTTCCAAAGTATTCCAGTTAAACACATRTAAGTCCACAGGGCCAAGCAGGTGCCTTCCTGGGTTAGTACTCAAGTAGAGTCCCCCAGACCTTTCTCAGTGCCCAAACCAGCCCAGCCTCACTGGCTTTCTCTGCAAATAAATGCTATTTCTCCTCTTGTATGCAGTTCAGATATTGCTGGGATTTCCTAAAGTGGCCTTGCAGTGAGAACAACTATTGAACTATTGAAGACTGCAACCCATCATTGCTGTCAAAGAGTATTCGGATCTTTAGTTTGTGGTTCTCCTTTCYCATCCACTCTAATTTCATTAATTAATTTAGCAACAGATCTGTTTTAAGAGATGAAGTAATGAAGGAAGGTGTTAGAAGCTGGGGCTCAGTACTGTCTAGTGCAAACTATAGCATTATTTCCTAGAAAAACTCTCATTTTCCAGATAATAGTTTTTCCATTGATTTCCATCTCACAACATCAGAATTACAAACTGCTACTTGCCAGAATCACAGTTACAATATACATAAGTATATGACCATCCATTATATAAATTTATCAATTAGAGACTGAATACACTCTTACAATCAACTTTCTATATCACTATAACATTCCACGTATGTTGTTGTTCTAATTCAGTCTGTAATTATATAATGGGTAATGACTATTTGTTAATGAGGTCGCAGAACTTGCTCAGARTTATTTTCTTGGTCATATTAATGAAAAACCTCAAGGTCAAAAGTGAAAAAGAATCATTCCTAATTTATTATTTTAAATGCATTCTGGTCAGCATTATCTATGCAATAGTTTTCCTGACTCATGTTTTGCCTAACTGTATTTCTCGAGCTCTTGCTTTGAGCAAGTTGAAACATGCAATTGATGCGACTGTTTTATATGCTAGGAGATCGGAAAAAAACAACATCTGAATCCATGTTTCTCCTTGCACTGAACTGCAGCAATATTTTTCKTATACATTTTCAATTGAATCTATGCAACACATTTCCTTTTAAGAGAAGGGAAGAGGCCAGATGACGGCATGCTTCATACCAGGATGGAAATGATTAGATAGTCATATTTTTCCAAAAGCCAAACAATTCTACTATAGGAATTGCTGCTGTGGATAAAGATCTGTTGTCCCTTTCTTTTCAGAAATTTTGCCTAGTAGAAACATCTTTAGGYTCTCACTTAAGATGCTGGCTTACTGAAACTATTACGGGGAAGTTGGGTTCCACGCATATGAAAAAGAAATTAAATACAAGCAAAACACCAAAAAAACCCCAACATTTCAGTAAAAGATTGCGTGTGAAGATAAACCAGTAGCACTTCCACATACCTAGTACAAAGCACACCCTGTATTAATGTAAATGCCAAACAGAGCAATTTCTATGATCCTTCAGGCACAGTCAGCTCAGATTTTGTTGGATCAAGAATTAGCTTGGAGAGTAACAAAAACCAGACTTTAAGTCAATTTCATTTGCAGAGATTAAAGCAAAAAAGATTAAATGAAGAGCAAACGTGGCGGAAATTAAAGTTTGTATATCAACATTGTCCCTACTCTTGCAAACTTTTCCCGTGCTGTAAATCTTCTCAAATTATGCCTTTATTTTTCCCCCCTCCTGCACATCCTGGCTTGATGAAAGGTAGCAGTATTTTACAGATGTTATAAGTTGTGTAAAAATAATTGCTAGCCTTGGGAATTCTTTTTTCTTTGATTGGCATTTAAAATCCAGGAAATTTAATTAAAAATGCATATATCGTAATTGCAAAGCCTAGTTTTCTTCAACACTTTGCCTTCACAACTAAATCATGTCTTCTTTTTTTTCCATCCTACAGGACAACTCTGGGGTAACTAACATGAACTATTAAACACGAACTGTGTTAAAAGTCACCAATGCAATGTCAAAGCTTTATTGATTTTACTTTTTTGCCCCTGCCAAACCAAGTCACAAGCAATTAAGGACAATACAGTTGGGAATTCCTAATCCCTAACACAGCATACTGTAAACATTAAGCTACCAGTCAGAGGTCTCTTCAGGGATACTCAGCTTGTATAATCCTGAAGATAGCTAAAGCTTGAGACCTTTAAACTCATTTCCTGGCAGACCAGAAATCCCTCTTGAAGCATATTTGTGACTGCCTTCCCCCCCCCCCCCCGGTACTCATAACCATGGATAATATATTTTAAAGCTATTTAATTAAAAAAGTTTTTTTTAATTTTTTTTTAAATTTATTATTTATTTTTTAAAGTGTGTGTGGAGGGAGGTGTCTGCACAAGCAGATTTGTATAATAAGGATGAGTATGTTCTGGAGAAAGCATATGATATTAATTCTTCTCCAAGGAATCTGGAATCCAAGAAATACAGAATTCACAGTAATAAAAATAAATAAAAAAATGCAATGCTGCCCAGCAACTTAAATTAACTAAATATGAAAATCTTGCCTTGCTTTTGGTTTCCATAGCACAAATCTGACAACTTTCCATGCTCTATGGCCAGAAATTCTCAGTTTTCAGAGCAACACTAAGAAAAATCCATTTCATTAGACTACCAAGAAATGTGCTGTCAATGTGTCAGGATCCCTGGCAATCCTCAATATTTTTATAAGCACTTCAGATGCAACCTAGACACAGATCATGCTGAAATCCTTTCCTTCTTTGGACACACTGAAAGCTTAATCCTACCTTTTTCTTCTTACCAGTATCTGGACAGGATGACTTGGACAGCACCTTCACGTGCAGTCGGACAGCAATTCTTCTCCAGCTTCACCATTTCTGCTGTATGTCTTCGTACTACAGTAGCTTAAGAGAGAGACTCTGCACTGGAATTCAGGAGGTCTGGATCTCCTGATAGTCGCTGGAATAATTTGGGATAATTCACTTCCCTTCTCAAAGTATAGTTTTCCTCTCTGTAAAACAGAAATTATGATATCTCCTCCATGGTCCACGTTGAAATGAATTGACTAGGCTACTGCTATTACCCATGGTTTWAAGTCGAAATCATTTCTTAATTTGGCTCACTTATTTGAAGGATCAGTATTTTACAGGATATAAAAATCCATCTAAATTCAAATTTTAAAATGAGTTCCCCTAACTTGTCAAATACATCGTCTTTCTTTAGCAATTCTTAAAGTAGTAAAAATATATTTGTAAAACAAACTACTGTAAAAATATAGTGGTAAAAAACATACTGCTTAAGTATTACAAAGTAATTAATTAGGACTTTAATTACCATTAAAACCATTTTTTTATACAACTTTCTACTAAAAGTAGTTTTTCAAACCTGTAGTAATACATGTGGTATCTTACTGTTCAAAATATAAAGAAGATCTGCTTACAGTTATACTAAATGCCTCTATTTGTGAATAAGTTATTTCTAACTAAATATTACAAAGGAGTTTGTGTTATCACAAGCATTTTTTTAAGAATAAGCAAAATACTTCCAAATGAAATTTGAGCTTACCTATAATCAAAAGACTTTCCAACATTTTGTTTTTTGTCATAATAAAAATCTCTGTTGAGAAGTCACTTCCAGTAGACCTTCCTAGACTCACTTATATATTTGAAAGGGGACTTACATTTTTGGAGAAAAAAGACTCTAGGGTTTTTTTGTTATTGTTGTTTTGTTATCTTAAGGCACCAGATAAAGCATTTTACTTCTCTGGGAGATATACTCATTAAAAATATCTTAAAAAACTTAACAAGGAGGAGATCCTCTAGTGTTCAAAAGGACACTGTTATTGAGTGGCTGCTTTTATTTGTTTAACCAAATTGCTTCATTAATTACAGTCTGCATTAACTCCTCCTCCAAATGAAAGGTAACTGTCAGTCATTCTCTGCTAGGCAATGCTAAAGCAACCTGAGAGAAATAAAAACACATGCCAGAGTTTATGTAGTTAGACTCTAATGCAATAAGTCTAGTTTTACAGTGAAGAGAAAAATTTAATTCTCATAAATGTCCTTTGTGCCTGTCACTGGCTGAACAGACCCAGCAATTGCCTAGGAGTTTTCTATAAATTACCTTAAACATTTTGTTTAATCAAACAAGGAACCAAAAAGCTGTGAGCGATTGTGTTCTGCACAGCTTATCCATGCAAGGAGCCTCTAAGTACTTTCTATATTACACTAGACATAAGGGCAGATTTGTTACTAGAATGACCAAAAATGCAGTATTATAATGTCTTTAGTGGGTTGCACTTGTTCTCCTCTCTCACCTGGTTTCAACACGTTTCTCTTGTAACTTGTGGCCATCACTCTGAAGAGATGCAAAGCTGTAGTTTCTGTCTTAAGGACAGAGCCCTCACTGCAAGGTTAAAAGGAGATTAAAAACAGAAAAGAGCTGAGGAAGAGGGGGAGTGCTCTCTGCACCCTTCTTGCTGCAGCTGTGCTGTATGCAGAAAATAATTTAAGATAGATCCATCCATCCATCCATCCATCCATCCATCCATCCATCCATCCATCCATCGAGGCCCCAAGAAGCAGCATTAAGCCCTTAGTCTCAACTAGGATGTCTCTGCCTGTAGCATTATAGGCAATTTTAGTGATTCCCATCCAAGCACATATCTGGGGTGACTCTGTTTAACCTGTGAGATCTGATCATCTGATCACAGGTGATAAGACTTACAGGCAGAGCTGTGGCTCTAAGGAATAGATAAAAATGATAGTASCGCATTAAGTAAGAGCGTAAAAAGCTCTGCCAAATGTATCTTTTAGTCAGTATAAAGCTACATTAGATCCCAATTTTGTATGATCTTCTACTAGTTCCGTTAACTGCTTGCTAGCTGGTATTTAATAATATCTTTAGGACAAAAGAATACAATTCCTGAATCACACACAGAGAGATCATATTACTGGATTACTAATTACTGGATCTCCTGCAGTTAGCTGCAAACACATTCTGTGATTACTTAGCACCAAACAGATTAGTACAAATGCAAGAACTGATAATTTTATTTCTTTTAGAGGAAAGAGACATTATTATCATTATTATGAATAAAGTCAGCAGAAGTCAATATAACATTGTCCTATAAAAACGAATTATCTTTCTTCCCCTCACCATTGTTTCCGAGCCATGGTTCTTCTGTTCAAGAAACTCTTAGCATCCCAGAAGAAAACATGATCATAAAATCTCAATATTCTGTTTAGTTTCTTATTGATTAGAGAGATTAGAAGGTGATAAGCTTAAGCATACCACAAAGAGGTTCATATATCTCATATTAAATGCATGGAAAAAATAAAATTGCTTCAAGTTGCAGTGGTGTAAAGCAAGATTGGGCTCCGAGGTTTCAATTAACATATTTTCAGAATTCAAGAGTACAATATGGGCTTGTATGTTTTCATTTCCCTCAAACAGAATTATCCCCAACACCAAAGGTTGTTTTTAAATCTGTTAGGCAGCAAAGTGAAATCATTCTTTACTTATTGGGGATAATTACCAGGCTATTCCCATTTCACTGCACTTAAAATACATCTGGGTTGATTAGAGCTTTCCTTCACAGACCTACATCATACAGAAGAAACCGAGGTTACATTATAGCCTTGCCAGCTGCTGACAGTCCAAAAAATTAACTCAGTACTTTCCATTCTTGCTGTCTTGCAGGGATAACCATAGAGGAAATTTTGTGTTCAGCTACCAGGAGAGCTGCTAAGCAGATTTATGAGTTGGATGCAGATCTCAATTGACCATGCATCAGTCTGAAGCTAACGTAAATGGACCCGCTCCAGATGTACGGTAGTGTAAAGGAAATCTTCTTATACCTGTGGGATTTAACCCAGATGAGTTTTCTTGATACTCAGAGATGGTTCTCACCGTGTACCTCTATCACTGGACGAGACATCAACCATTATATGAAGCAGCTGTTGGAATGCCAGGATGCCAAGCTTCCTTATTTTTATGGTCATGGATCTGACTCCCCACAGTTTGACCAAAGGGGGACAGGAAATGCTCTAGAAAATACGAACTATTATATTCTGGGAAATTACACGTGCTGTATTTGTTTATGCTGAGCAGAAGCTCTGAAACCTTATACATGAGCAGATAAGATGCCTATGCTCAGATTTGATGTCCATAGAGTCCTTGGAATGATTAAATCAAGAGGAAAAATATGCAGGAGGAGGAAATGAGTTTCTTCCCCCACACTCTTTTCTCTTTGTTCCTGTCTCAATAGCTTCTGAAACCTCACCACTGCTTTCCATAATCCTAACTGTGACTCTCCACTTCTCCGTAATGGATGCTGGCCAAAGGGAAGTTAGAGAGCAGAATAACAAGATGCTAAAATACAGTTTTTGTACTTCTGAAGGATTTGGATGAAAGAGCAAGCTAAAAGGAGACCAAATGTGTACTGTGAAAAAACTAGTATTATCACAGATTTAGGAAGTCTATATGCCAAAAAGACATGAAAATTACAGCTGGGCACAGAACAAACTTCTGGTCCYGCAAGACTTTGGAATTAACATTTGAAATCTACCCTGAACCAGGGATCCAGAGAGGAGGAAACCGTATCAGAGCAGCGCAAAAAAATCGGACTTATCATTTGAATTGTCAAATTTTTATATCTGCAYTTTATTTCTCCTTTACTATAAATTCTACTTTAAAAATAGAAGTAACAGAATTAAAAAACAGAACGCATTGATCACTTCAAATTTTGCAGAACTTAAAAAAGGAGAATTCTCTGAATCTGAATCAGTTTAGATGAATTGCTATTTCAAATAGAATTATTTCCAGCAGAACAGCTCTTTCCTGTTCCTTTCCCCAAGAAAATGTGTACAAGATATGTGGCTTTCCAAGACTTCCTGACTATATTTAAATCAAGACAGAATTTGGGGAACAAATGTGTTCTACCCAGGGACATCTTTTTCATTCTTTGMGCAACAATGAATTACCTTGATATGTTCTGTGACTAGTTGTATTACTACAAAACAGGCTGTGAGACCAAATGACATTCACCTTTTAATGTCTTCAAATACTCTTCAGGGCAATTCAAAAAATATATTTTGTAGTTTGGAGGTAAGGGTAGAGTGAAGGAAACTTGCAGCGGGATATGGACATTTTGCAGATGGCATCACAGCTCATTTATACCACAAATGTGCCAGCGACTGCACTAGATGTTCACTGAGCTAATGGGGAACATGTTTTGAAACGAGCTTGCACCACAACAAAGAATTTAGGCATTAGTCATGATCTGCTGGCAGGAGTCTGAAAATGGTTTCTTTGACTCTACATTGACTGCAGTTATATCTGGTTTTGAGTCTCCTCAGCATTTGTAGTCTTCAAAATACTGCAATATAAACATTATACCATTGGCCCACGTCTTCAATAGGTTTAAGGTCTGTGGAAAGCAAGTGCATTTGCCTTTGAAACAGAAGCTGCATAAAAGCAGTAGCAATTTGCTAGAGCAGTCTCCTATGGATATGGTCAGGGAAGGCTGCAAAGCCCGAGGARCTCGTGAGCACCCGGTGTGAAAGCGGCATGGAGCTAAGAGACGGGCTTGGCTCTGGAATCAYGCACCGGGATGGAAACACACAGCACACGGAGCAGAGCACCACAGCCGGCACCAGCTCATGAGTACAATCTGAGCAGATTTAATCTTGTGCACACAAGCATCTTTTTTTTTCTCTTTAAACCCAGCCTGAGTGCAAGACAGGCCAAACAGACTGAAAGGATAACAGTGGAAGAGCCTGAAATCAGTTTTTTTCATCTGCCCCTCRGGATGAAAAAGGAATATATGAGTCATTTTCTTTTATAATGGAGAAGTATGAATCCTATTGCATCTGGCTAATTCCAAGGACTGCCCAAACAGAATTTCATTGTAATTTGTCACAGATCTGCAATGCGATTGGAAATGTTTCTTGAAGTTTATTGTCATGGCTTTTGATTTTAGTGCTAAAATATTGTTCTTTCAGTGGAATTTCAGTTACACAACTGTTACACAAGCAATTAGTAAAAAAGCAATTTCACCAGTAAGCTATAAATGATTATTTCTACACCTGTAGGTGGAGCAACAGAAAATTGAATATGGGGACAGAACAGTCACATCAGCTCTCAGTTTACTGCTTTGAGTCTGTTCAGATTCATTATTTTAATATTTTCACCCTAATATTTTGTAAGCCTCAGTTGCAAGGGTAAAAACAAAAAGTTAGGAAAAGATGTTYAGGAGTTTAACTTGCATTTTCACAAATGATATTGCACTCTCCTCTTTGCTGTGCTGGCAGTCTGGTTCCAGGAGAAGGTTTGGGAACTTTTTTGTATTTAACCAGCATGGAGACTCTTGCCAYGTGGAGTAGGTTTTCTTTTCAGTCCCTCTGGTCTGCATTTCTAAAGAATATTCAGGGATTGTGTAGGATTTATGCAGTAACAAGTTAGCTAAACAGTACCCAGTCATACTCCATTTGGTGTGTTTGAGAGTAAACTGATTCTCACTTTACAGTAAACTTGACTTTGAACAGATATTTTGGAATCAAAGTGGTATATAAAATGAATAGCTATATTGTTCTGGTTTCTCCTAAATAACATAATCACA